ACCATCGGCTCAGCAGATGCTCGGCTTTCCTACTGGTGACCTGCAAGAGCAGCTGCAGCCCTGGTGAGCACACGGGTTGCAGTTCACCACTAGGAAAGCTAGGGAGGCCTGATCCTGCTGCTGCAGGGCTGACCTCTGTGGGTCTGCAAGCTGCAGCACACACTTGCCTTCACAGTGCAGCTGCAGTGCAGGCCTGTGCCAGGGTAAGGACCTGCACGGCATGGCATCAGCCCACGTGGCCCCTCAACCCAGGGTAGGAGCCCGCAAGTTACTGCGTAGTAACTGCAATGGGCAGAGAAGGGACTTTAAACTGAAATATTCCCAACTTTGCACCTTAAACCTCAGCCAGCCAGCCAGCAGCACCCTTCCACCTCGTGGGCAGCCCAGGACAACAGGTCTGGAAGCTGCCGTGCCAGGAGGACCGCTCTGTGCTGGCAGCCCCACAGCTTGTTGGGTCTCTCCAGGAGCTCAGGCACATGCCAGGCGTGCACAGGCAGCCAAAAATGCTTTGAACCAGGACACCTTCTCCACACAACTGGAAGCACCTGCTGCCAGGATCTCCTGTCTGTGACTCGGGAACGGTCACACGACTCTGCTTGTTGGCTCTGCACATCTAAAAGGCTTCACTCCAACACTTGGGGGCTCGCCCACGAGCTAGGGCACCCCCACCGGCAGCGGAGGGGGCTTCGGAAGCACAGCACGGACAGCAGCGTTGGCAGCTCAGCGGTCCCCAGCACCCTCCGCTTCCAGTCCGTGCACCGTCAGGTCGGCCCAGGGAGGCAGGCAGAGCTCAGAGCGAACTCGCAGCTCTCCAGAACCACCTCGTGCACAACCGGGCTCCGTTTTCCCCCGAACCGTCACAGTTCAGGTGAGAACTGCCATCCTCCTGCTTGGTGACGCCGCAGAGCTCCAGCTGCGCCGCTTTACGCAGGGCCCCCCAGCAGGGTGAACCGAAAACCAAGTCGGCCTCGTTGCGGGAGCTCCTGACCGGGCACAGCGGGTGACGGGCACCGGCTCCCGCCCACCTGGCATCACTCACTCACTTTAAAG